AACCCCCCAGGCCGACGTGCCTGTAACCCTTCCCTAGGATCATCGGGGATCTCCAGTGGACCTCTGACACACTGGTGATCCCCGATTGATCCTAGGGAAGGGTTACAGGCACGTTGGCCTGGGGGGTTATGGGCGCACTCACCCGCTACACAAACAAGCCCTTTTATCCCAGTGGTTAGTGGCTGGGATTCTGACATGGTATCAGAGCGAAGGTCTCGGGTTCGTATCCCGGTGTGTGCACCTCGGGCATCCCAGTGCGGGGGGGTGTCAGAGGTCCACTGGTGATCCCCGATTGATCCTAGGGAAGGGTTACAGGCACGTTGGCCTGGGGGGTTATGGGCGCACTCACCCGCTACACAAACAAGCCCTTTTATCCCAGTGGTTAGTGGCTGGGATTCTGACAGTGTAGCGGGTGAGTGCGCCCATAACCCCTCAGGCCGACGTGCCTGTAACCCTTCCCTAGGATCAATCGGGGATCTCCAGTGGACCTTTAACAGCGCATCGCTCCAAGTAGAAGGGTAGGCGCTTTTAATAAGACAACGCTTATATCCGGGATGATACGCTAATGTGTGCATGCACAGTTGGAGGTGAGGAGACATCGGTCGGGTCATAAGCTACGGTACTACCGTAGCCTCGCTATTGACACTCAGGCACAAGAAGGTTGGCATACGTAGGCGTGCACAGTGTGCAACGGTTGAAGTGGTGGAAACACTGGTGGTAATTGAAGCTGCTTTTCATGGATATTTTTTTAACGAGCGTATTCCTACGACCTCGTATCAGGGGCACCTCGTACCAGATTGGTACTCCACACCTGTAAATTGGTCATCTCGCTAAAACCTCGTATCAGCAAAAGTTGACGGCTAACCTAGAAATGCGACGCAAACTCAATGCTGATGTGTCTTGTTGCGATCCAGCACTCTGCGCTCCAGATGCCGCACCAGAACATCGCGCCTCGAATTACAGCAAACCCTCGCCACGTAAGCACAACCACACCACTTTGCCCGACACTTCTCCGTCACCCCTATACACATTTGGTTGCCTTGCCAACACCAGTGGGAAGTTGAAAAGCACAAGTTTCGGTGCCACTTTTCGGCAGAGGTAATCAGTGTCCCACCATGACCGACATACTCTTCTTGCCACGCTTGTTACCGTATTCTCCCGGATATAAGACCCTAGGGTCTTATGAAAAATTCATAGAAAAAAGAGGGGGGGTCTTGTCAAAGGCTTAGAAATGTATAGTACCCGGGTCTTATAATACGGACATATTTTTTGAAAGTGTATTTGATTGCTTAGCTGTTGGATAGGACCGCGGATGTGCGGCGATTCAATCCGGGTGTGGCTTCTCATTGGTCGAAATGGCACATTTAGGGTGATCCAGCGTTACATGGCAAGATTCCTTGCCTTGTCATCGTGCAACCCAACCTTGGCGGTCCAGAACATGCGCGACTCGCCAGCATGGGCTGCACGAGGGACATTGGGTTAATCGAGCGGCCCATGCTAAAGCTTCAGCTTGGCCCGAAAATGAACCAGAGAACCCCAATTGAACTAGTATCTAGGCTCGGGGGGGGGGGGGGGGGGGGGGGGGGGGGGGGCTAGTAATGTTACCCCCTCAAGGGGGGGGTATAGTGAAAACGTGCCAAAATAAAAGACCCACCCCCGTATTACAGACCCGGGGGTCTTGTTTTCCGGGGGGTCTTATATCCGGGAGAATACAGTAATTGTGTGGCATGCGTTCTGTTATAATACTTTCTTAAATAGTGCTGTCAACTCATGCATTAAACTGCTTGAACAGTTTAGCCTCGCGGAACAGGGAGAGAGCCTTCAAGAGTCGCGAACTGAACTGCTCGCACGGAACCGTCGGTTAAGGAGGCGACGACTAGAGGTATGGGAGGACGAAATGGCGACGATGTCCAAAGACATGTTTTTGGACTTATTCCGCATCAATCGTGCCATACTAGACTACATATGCGAAGGAATGCAGTCCGTGCTCAACCCAATCATTCAAAGGCATCATATCCCGATTAGAGTGGCTGTGTTGGTGCCCATTAAGTACTTTGCCAGTGCGATGGTGTACGTCGACCTGGCTTTCTGGTTCGGTGTCCCCAAAACACTGTGTCATAAGCTCGTAGACCTGTTCCTACAGAACTTCCCTCTTGTTTTCAAAGCGGAATGGGTCCCCTTCCCTTTATGCGAGGAAATGCAAGACATAGCTGCGGCGTTCCATAGCATAAAGGGCGTGCCCATGGTGATAGGCGCCATCGATGGGACACATATTCAGATACGAGGCATGGATGGCCACAGGGCGGAATACTACACGAGGAAATCACAATATGCAGTGCAGCTACAAATAACATGTGACGGGTTCGGAAGGATTTGGGACTACCTAATCGGCTTTCCTGGCCCCTCTCATGACCAGAGAGTTTTCGTACAATCTAGCCTCTACACGCGACTAGAAAACGGAGACATCACCCCGTACCAGCTGGTGGGTGATGCGGCTTACCCGCTACGCAGCTACTGCCTCACCCCCTTGCATGCGCCGACCGGCCGCCTCATGCTCGAGTGGGAGCAGACTTTTAACTACTGCCAGTCCGCCACTCGGATGTCGGTGGAGCGAACCATCGGCCAGTTCAAAGGTCGATGGCGCCTCTTTGTCGGCCGCCATGATTGTGCGTTATGGCGCGTCCTAGTGGGGGCGAGTTGCGTGGTAATCCTGCATAATATGGGCATAGAAATGGCTGGGGCACCGATGAAGAATCCGAACCATAAGTGGGCCACTATCTCCCTATGACGAGACCCTTGGTGGACCAGGGGCGAACTTGCGACATACAACTAGAACGAGGATCTTACAGTGACGAAGAATGACCTGAAAGAACAACGGAAGCGTTTCGGGCTTGCGCTTCATGACGCGTACCTTAAGCGACGTCGCCGCGGCGATGCCACACCTCCACATCGTCGCTGAGCCCGGCGTCGGTGTGGCCATCGCCGTCGCCCTGCCAGCTGTCTCCCGCCCGGTTGCTGGCGAAATTGAGTGGACGACTGGTCTGTGACTACTGCGAAGTCATCCACTCGCGGATCACTCCAGTGATCTGAGCGACGCTGTCGCTGGAGCATTGCTTGAAAGTCTCTGCAAGGAGTTGAGCGGCTGCCATAGTCGCAGTTTCGTTGATGCGTCGACGTGCCCTGGGTGGGGTGCCGCGCCCTGTGTGGATTGAAGGGATGGGATAGGGACGCTAAGCGAGGTTGTATGTAATTTCCATACTGACATTATACAAATCAACATATGTAAAGTGTGGTTTGACAAGTTCACAAACAATCCGCAGATGTGGGCGTTATACAACGCAAAGCAGAAAATTACCAGTGTTTGGTGTCGATTGTTTGTTAGACGCCTTCGGGACCTACATGCTTGGATCGACGGTTACATTTTGTGCTCCGCCGCCATCCAGAGCGTGTGGCTCTGCAGCTGCGGTATCCTCGTACCGTAAGCCCCCGGATAGAAGCGCAGGCCTCGGATAAGCGCCGGCGCTTATAAAAGGATGAGGGCGCTTATATCCGGTCCTCGATTATAAGCGCACCCCCTGAGAATTCATTATTTATTATAAGCGCATGTCGATTTTTTTTTCTTGAAAAACTGTCGAATTACAGAAACGAATTTCGCCTTAGCAGGGAAACGAAGCACAATTCCAGTTTCCCACTCAAAATCTCACTTGCTGCGCGTCTAGTCAGCATGTGCTGTCACTTAGTCAGCATATGTTGGCAGGGAATCAATCCCTGCCAAGCTGCGCGAGATTCGAATTCGTGACCCCATATAGTTTCGACTCGATGAAAATGGGCATAACGAGATCTACAGTTTGGTGTAAAATATACTTAATTTCATTTTTGCCATTATATAAATGCCGGCACTTATAAAAATCCTCGATTCTAAGCCCACCCCCTAAAAAACAGTGTTTTTTTATACCCCCAGGGGCGCTTCTATCCGGGGGCTGACGGTAAAACAAGACCATCCACTGCCACCATCGCGGTTTTATCACGGTCTCACCACCGGAGGCCGTATCTCCACGTTCGATCTGCTTCTAGAGCGCCTTGAGCCGCTTCCACTAGTTGCCGCATGCTGTAGCATTGCGGCACCAGTCCGGATGCTGCTGCTTGACGTGTTCGATCAGGCGCAGCCAATACTGCGAACCCTATCTCCCCGTCATCTGCGTCAGCTCATCCTCCTCAGTGTCGTAGTCGGTATTGACACCAGCAGTACTCGGACCGGCAGTGGGAGGCGGAGAGATAGTAAACTGCGCGGGCGTTTGTCCAACGTTGCGCAGAGGTCTAGCCGTAGGTCTTCCTGCAGCCAGCTCCGCCATCATCCACTTGACGTAGGCAAGATCTTCTACTCGCCATGGGGCTTCTTGTGTTGCACCTGTTTGAGATTTACGCTTGCGGGCCATGATAGTTGCTCTAACGTTGTGTGAGCACATACAAATGCTATAGCTAGATTTGTAAGCACGGTTGGGTTGAGATGGCGTGGCAGTGGTTCGGACATGGCAAACGTGACTAGGTCTGGTAATCGCTCAACGTGCGGGGGATCTGACATTGCCGCGTGGCGCCTAGTGGCGTCATGTTCCTTGATGGTGCACAGTCTGCACGTTGCTGTGCAGCGCACCAAAGCCACGTAACGAATCCGTGCAGGTATGAGTATCGGCCGCAAACACAGGGTAGACGGCTGCTCGTCAATTTGAACCGTGCATGGGGGGGGGAGCCACGTTCGAACGACGCTGTGCGAGCAATATCATTGGTGCGCTGTTTCGGTACAAAGTTGATACGAGGTGTTTTATAACGTGATGTAGCTGAAAATCTATTACTGGTATGAGGTTGGACCGTAGGAACACGCTCTAAAGCTTTACAAGCAATCAAAAACTTATTTCACCTAAACAGCAGTTGCTGCCACGTAAAATCAAGGCACATACCGTATACGTGGTTCACTAAGCTATGGACGGCATGCAAGCGCAGTGCTACGAGGCATGGAGGCGGTTGAAGAGGAGGACCAGCTGCTCGAATGACAGCTCCTCGGGACGCGCCTGCAAGCAGGGCGTGCATGCAGTGAGAGGCGTGCAAGTAAGCCATGCATGTAATGCTATGGAACATGGGACTTACAGGGCTGGTTGGATTGAGTTTCAACTAGGAGAGGCAGCCAGCGCAAGAAGGGGCCAGTGGCTTACATGAGGCTTAGAAGGAGAGGCACTGTGGCACTCGCTTCAGGGGGGGCAGCAGAGATAGAGATCACTCAGCAACCAGAGCTTACCTGCTGCATCCCCGTCAGCACACCACCCACTGCACCTCACCCTGCACCACCCACTGCACCTCCCCCCTGTGCCCCCCTCACGGCACCACGTGACTCACAGTGGCGGGCAGCGAGAGCGCCTCCAGAGCAGCAGACACCTGCTGCGACGAGTAGGAGGGCTGCAGCGACGCCCGCAGCATCTTGCGCTTCGCCTGGAATGCCCTGTTCACCTGCCAACGTGCCGTGGTGGTGCGTGGTGCAGTGTGGTGCGGGTGTATAGGGTGTGGCGCGGTGCGAGATAAACCAACGGCACAGAGAGTAAGGGAGCAGAATTTGGAGCACCTTGAGACAAGTGTGAAGCAGGATGTGAGTGAGAAAGGCAGAGAACGTTGTGAGGGCAGGGTTGGGGGCAGATGCCAGGTGACACAGCAGATGCCCATGCGTGGAGCACCCCCGTGGCGAGCAGAGCAGGGTGATGGGCATGCATGGCCCGATGTTGTGAGATGTGCTTACCATGTGGAAGAACTGGGTGGGCGATGCCACGTGGACTCGTTCCATTGGTGGCTTGAGGGCGAATGACACGACTGCTGCATCAACCTGGTCGATGAGAGAGACACGGGACAGGAGATGAGATGAGATGCTCAAAGACAGACCCTGCTTGAGATTGTTACAACAAGACATGGTGCTAAGCAGACACGGAGATGGACGTTAACAAAGTTGTAAGACGCACAGGGTGATATTGTGCATTTGACATGGGGTATGGGAGGCATACAGCATGAGGCGTGGGGCATGGGGCATGGGGCATGGGGCATGGGGAATGGCCCTTGGAACATACATTTGGGGGAGGTAGGAAGCTGCGGCGGCTGACGAAGAACTGATAGGTGGGGTCTGATGGGGGGATGGTGACACACAGGGGGAGGAGAGTGGGCGATGGGGCGAGAGGAGTGAGCGATGGGGAAAGAGGAGTGAGAGATGGGGAGGGGGGAGTGCGAGATGAGGAGGGGATTGAGAATAAAGGGTGCAGAGTAAGAGATGAGGGGATTGCAGTGTATTGGGGAAGTAGTGGCATGGTGCTGCTTGCTCACACAGAGCACAGTGCTCACCCGCATGGCACCTCACCCGCATGGCACCTCACCCGCATGGCACCTCACCCGCATGGCACCTCACCCGCATGGCACCTCACCCGCATGGCACCTCACCCGCATAGTACTGCACGAACACGCTCATGGGTCGGTACTGCGATGCTGCCGGTGTTGCATCCACCAGCCGCTGTGCCGCGTCATCCTGCCCGGTGGGGAGTGGTGGGGGGTGGTGGAGGATGGTGAGAGATCTGGGGGGATGTGACAATTTCCAACACAGGTGGATGTCATGCTTGCAGCCATGCGTCATCACAGCACCCCCTCACACCATGCCATCACCCCACGCCCTCCCAGCTGTCATCACATGCAGCACGCCATCACACCACATCACACCATGCCATCACACCATGCCATCACACCATGCCATCACACCATGCCATCACACCATGCCATCACACCATGCCATCACACCATGCCATCACACCATGCCATCACGCCATGCCCCTCACCCCATGGCCTAGCAGCACCTCACTGCACCTCACCTCACCTCACCTCACCTGCAGCATGCAGACGACGGTGGAGACGAGGTGGCCGAGGGGCAGGAAGAGGCGCAGAAAGTCCGTGGTGATGTTGAAAGGGAGGTTTGTCACCACCTGGCAGACAGGCGCACGGGAGAGAGGCGCACGGGAGAGAGGCGCACGGGAGAGAGACGCACGGGAGAGAGGCAGGTAAGGTGGGGCATTACAGGGGAAGGCAGAGGTGATGTTGACAGGGAAGTTTGTCAGCACCTGCCATGCACGCGCTCGGGGGAGAGGAGGGTGGTGAAAGGGCGATGGGAGATGGGGCGATGTGAGATGGGGCGATGGGAGATGGGGCGATGTGAGATGGGGCGATATGAGATGGGGCGATATGAGATGGGGCGATATGAGATGGGGCGATATGAGATGGGGCGATGGGAGATGGGGCGATGTGAGATGGGGCGATGGGAGATGGGGCGATGGGAGATGGGGCGACATGAGATGGGGCGATATGAGATGGGGCGATATGAGATGGGGCCATATGAGATGGGGCGATATGAGATGGGGCGATATGAGATGGGGCGATATGAGATGGGGCGATATGAGATGGGGCGATATGAGATGGGGCGATATGAGATGGGGCGATATTGGGGCTAAGCTGGCGATGCCTCCCCCTGCTCCCCCACGGTCGGGACAGGCCCGGTGTGAGATGGGAGGTAAGGAGAGAGTGGCACATGTCAAGGAGAGAGTGGCACATGTCAAGGAGAGAGTGGCACATGTCAAGGAGAGAGTGGCACATGTCAAGGAGAGAGTGGCATATGTCAAGGAGAGAGTGGTACATGTCAAGGAGAGAGTGGCACATGTCAAGGAGAGAGTGGCACATGTCAAGGAGAGAGTGGCACATGTCAAGGAGAGAGTGGCACATGTCAAGGAGAGAGTGGCACATGTCAAGGAGAGAGTGGCACATGTCAAGGAGAGAGTGGCACATGTCAAGGAGAGAGTGGCACATGTCAAGGAGAGAGTGGCACATGTCAAGGAGAGAGTGGCACATGTCAAGGAGAGAGTGGCACATGTCAAGGAGAGAGTGGCACATGTCAAGGAGAGAGTGGCACATGTCAAGGAGAGAGTGGCACATGTCAAGGAGAGAGTGGCACATGTCAAGGCGAGGGGACTGCAGGGGGGTGTGGTGTGGTGTGGGCACGACGAGGGGGGGCGGACTAAAGGTGGGGAGGTGTGCAGAAGGAAAGGAAGGAAAGGAAAGAATGAATAGAACGAAGGAAAAGGATGCGCGGATAGAAGGTGCCACAGTGAGGGGGACTGTGTGTTGCGCATGACAAGAGGTGTAATCAGGGTGCGACCTCGTGCCTGGGTAGAAGCAATTGAAGGTGCCTGAGTTACCACAGTCGGGTTGGCCTTTCCTTTTCAACCAGCCCAGTCCATCTCAAGCCTCTGTAGGTTCGTGACAGGCCAGCGTTTAGGCCTGCCTACCCTTCATTTTAGTCACATCTATGAAAAGAAAAATATATGTATGCGAACAGATGGTTTTTCACATGCTGTAAACATCTCTTTGTGGACCAAAGCTTGCGCATGACGTTGAACGAGAAAGGGCGATCCAGACAGCCGATTATGGGATTGGAAATACAACGACAGCAGCCTATACTGGCAGGCACTTGCTCACGCCTGTGAGCCGCATGGGCTTCAGCCTTGAGCCTCCGCCACCCACCTTGGCGCGCACGGCACTGCTGCCTCCATTCCCCTCGCTGCCTCTGCTCGCCACAGCGCCAGCGGTGGGAGCAGCAGCAGGCGGTGCAGCAGCAGGCGGTGCAGCAGCAGGCGGTGCAGCAGCAGGCGGTGCAGCAGCAGGCGGTGCAGCAGCACTGGGCACGGGCGGCTCTCCCGCCATGCCCATGCCGTCCATCCCACGCGCGCGCGCTGCTGCCCCACCACTCGCCCACGCCCCTTCGCCGTGTGCTGCCCTTCCCTCCGCCCCTCCCAGTGTGTGTGTGTCGTCCCCAGCCGTTCCAGTGAGGTGGTGCAGGCGCGCAGGCAGGTGCGTGTGCAGGGGCCACTTGAGAATGTCCGCATGCACCACCTGCCGTGGCGTGGGTGGCAAACGGAAGGTAGACGAGAGGAGAGGAAGAGGGTGGGAAAGAAGAGGGGCGAGCACAGGGCAAGCAGTGCAGGCCAAAGGGATGAGAGATGCCAAGGGGATGAGAGATGCCAAGGGAGGCACACAAAGCAGCTGGCCACAACACATGCGAGCCCAACACAACACATGCGAGCCCACCACGACCCATGCGAGCCCAACACAACCCATGCGAGCCCAACACAACCCTGTTTGAACCACACGGGCAGGCAGACAGGTGGGTGGGCAGGTGGGGGCAGGCAGGCAAATGCTAGTGGAACCACGTTATCAGCGGCAGCAGTGGGAGGGGAGGGTGGGGAGGGACGGGAGGGAGGGGAGGGATGGGAGGAGGGCAGTTCCCCTTGAGCCACACACAGCGGCTCATCCAACCCAAGCCCAAGGCCCATAGCTGTCGGGGACCTAAGTTGGGTCCGTACGTTTTTGGAACCACGTAATCGTAATGTTACGCGTAAACGTAAACGTACGCGTACGTACACGTAAATTCGCGAAACATATTTCCGGGCAGGGAAAAAAAAAATGTCAAGCGGGGCCATCGACTAAGGGCGTGGGACAAGAGGCAGGACCTGAGATAAACAATGTTGCAATTATGTGAGTGGGAGGAGGGGGGAAAGTGTGCTGGGGTTGGTAAAGCAGCACATGGAACCCATCACATGGAACCCATCACATGGAACCCATCACATGGAACCCATCACATGGAACCCATCACATGGAACCCATCACATGGAACCCATCACATGGAACCCATCACATGGAACCCATCACATGGAACCCATCACATGGGACCCATCACTGCAAGTTATTTGGTTGGTGGTCGAAACATCGTCGCACCACCCTTTGGTTGTGCATCTACAACCGAAAAGAGGGTACAAGATTGTTTGTTGGGCAGCCCAAAATAAAAAACTAACCTGCCCGAAAACGTATACGTATTATTTGATCCGCACACGTAACGTAAAACGTGCGTAAACGTACGCGTAAGGTCCAACTTAGTCGGGGACCTGCTGTCGGTCCAGGAGGCGTGAGGCTGAGGTGGGTGGGTGAGTGAGTGGACCTCCCCAGCTCCTCCCCTCGTGAGACATGGACTCCAGCTCTGGCCGCCAACCAGGCAGCCCAACCAACGATGGGTGGCAGGCAGTGTGCAGGGCAGCGTCACACGGCCCCATCACCCCACGGCACACAATACGGCCAGCCACCCCATGCTATGCTGGACATGAACCCAGTACCCAGGAGCACTCACAGATTGTATGGTAGGCTTTTACAGTCGCGTGGGTAGCCCACCATTTCTGTAACACCACTTACATGCCTGCCCGTGTCGTAGCAGTAAATACGTTTGATAGCCCTTGTCTTACACTCGCTGTACCGTTTGTTATAGTCAGCGAGAAGGACTGTTAGGCGAGGGGAGGGGAGGGCCGTGCGCACCTCTACTTGTGGGCACTGGGCGAAGCGCTCCCGCACCAGCTGCACCATGTCAGGGTCCTGTGCGGTGCAGTGTGGTGCATGGATGTGATGGGCATGAGGAATGTCAGAGACACGTGGAGGAAGCAAAAGGACTTGTCTGGACAAATGAAGGGATGGCAGCGATAGCAGGGAGAAGACATGCAGTCGAGGAGGGAGAGAGACTGAGTGGTGGGAGAGAGACTGAGTGGTGGGAGAGAGACTGAGTGGTGGGAGAGGGGTGGGGAAGAGCAGCGGAGAGACGAAGAAACGGAAGGATGAAGGAGTGGAACGACCACCATTTGCATCTCCCCATCACATGCAGCTAACATTCGCCACTGCCACCACTGCGCCTACACTCCGCTTCTCCCCCCCTTCTCCCACCTTCTCCCCGCCCCCCTCCCACCTTCTCCCCGCCCCCCTCCCACCTTCTCCCCGCCCCCCTCCCACCTTCTCCCCGCCCCCCTCCCACCTTCTCCCCGCCCCCCTCCCACCTTCTCCCCGCCCCCCTCCCACCTTCTCCACGGCAATGACATGAGCGCCAGCAGCCACGAGGGCAGCAGTGAGAGCGCCCGTGCCCGGCCCCACCTCCACCACCACGTCGCCCGCCTGCACGCCCGCTGCCGCCACCGTGGCCAAGCTGATGTCGTCCCGCAGTAGATAGTGCTGGGTTGCGTACGGTGGGGGATGGTGGGCGGGCAGGTGGGGGGTTAGGGGTGGGGGGGTAGGGGGAGGGAGGGGATTGGGGAGGTGGGGGGGGGTGGGGAGGTGGGGGGGTTGAAGAGGTGGGGGGGGTGGGGGTGGCAGAGGGTAGTTCAGTGGACTCGAAGTCCATCTTGCTGCCGCCACCGTGGCTGTGCTGATGCCGCCCCGCAACAGATAGTTCTGCCGGGAGGGAGGGGGGGAGGGGGGGGGAGAGGGGGTTTGGGTGACGGGTGGGGCTGGGGGTGAGGAACGGGGTGAGGAACGGGGTGAGGTGGTGTCACAGGAGAGAGGGATTGCGGGGCACGGGGCACGGGGCACGGGGCGCAGTAGTGGGGTGTGAAGGAGCTGCAATGTGATGCCGTCAGGCCCCGCCACACCACGCCGTGCCACACCACGCCGTGCCACACCACGCCGTGCCACACACACAGGGCGTGCTTACCTCCGCCCGGCCCCACCACACTGCTCACACTCTCCCTGCACATGCCATGCCATGCCATGCCATGCCACACCGCTGGTAACCCGCCATGCCATTCACGCCCTTTCCCCCCCAAACCCCCCCCTTCTCACCTCGCCTGCTCCCCCCCCGCCTCCCCTGCTCCCCCCGCCGCACCTGTCCGAGCCATCGCTTGGCGCGCCGGCTCTTGCTGCGCAGCGCGGCCGCCGTCGCCTGCGCGTTGCGCCGCATTGAGTCCGTCACTGCCCCGCTGCTGCCGCCTCCGCTTTCCGCTTCCTCCACCGCGAACTTTCCGCCTTCCCTTCTGCCACTCCGGGTCTTCCGCCCGTCGCCGTTCTCTCCCCCATGCGTACGCGTTGTTCGCTGATTGGACAGAGACGGCGCCGCTATTTCTCCACTCCCACCATCTCGGCCGCCTTTCTTTCTCCCACCGTCCGATCCCTCCGCGCTTCGAGCCTCGGCTTGCGCAGGCACAAAGCGGTCAGCCCCGAGAAGCGGTGGTAGCGGCGCGCGCGGAATGGGTAGGCGGAGTGTGCGGGTGAGCATTGCAGCTGACTGTGCCGTGGGGAGTAGAAAGGTGGACAACAAACAAGACGTGGATGTCCAAATCGGAATGTACGCGATATTATCAACTCGAAACACACTCAAAGGACACGAGATGCCAATCTCATTCCTCAATCTCTATGCTCTCAATCCCTAAAAATACCATGTGGTATTCGGGAAAAAGGTGGTCGAGAACAGAAAACGCAAAATAAGGGCGTGGAACATTTGTCAAAATATTATTGTCCTGATGTAAGGAAATTTTTCAGCATTCCTTACTGCGTACGTCAACATCGCGTACAACAGCGGTTGTTATTCGCCCGTTACTCTTAACGTAGCTTCGCCCGTTACTCTTAACGTAGCTTCGCCAACATTCGTGCGCACTGTTTCACGAAACCATGCACCGCTGGCCTGGCCGAGTCGGCCTATGCTTCGGGACTAGCCCGAACCCCAATGCCAGCCTAGCACTAGTTAAGCTCGCACGCACCACGTTACCGTTTGCATGTTCGCGTACCGGTATAAGTATTCGCTCATGCCTTCGCTCATACTTTGTACTCGTTTGACACCTAGTGCAATCCTCGCTATCTCGTTCCATTGCACCCGTAACACTTGGTATTCATAGCAATTTCCCTATTCGGACCGCGCATCTCCGCGCTTAGAGAAATCAACTTGTGATTTTCCACTCGAGTGGACCCACGCCCCTTGGCCCCTATGAGTCGTTGTCCTCGCGTTCTCTCATAAACGCGTGCAGCCACGAGTGCGCTAGAGCTAAGACGAGCCGCCACCCTTCGACATGGCTGAGCATATTGACGTCACGACCCTCACGCAGGAGCGCCTGAATCAACTGCTCTAGCAGCTGCACGAAAATACTAAGGAAATTGCGGCGCTAGCGGTAGAGCGTGCGTCACTGCAAAATGACGTCGCACGGGCGCAACAAGCACAGCCAGAAACACAAGGCGCGCAAGAACAAGTAGCACGTCAAGCATCGCAATACGAAAGTGTGGGGCAACCCTCGAGCGTGGCTAGTGATGGCGTCGCCCACAACAACGGAGACGACGACCACGGCACGACACTGTCAAAACATATGCATGTTAGTATCTAGGCTATATTGGGGCTAGCCTTAAGGGGTACAGAAACTCACTCGACACTCTAGTCTTGTACCCCAACCTCCACCTAATCACACATACTCTTCTCATTCTAACATGGCATCAGAAGCCTAGGTTAGGAACCTAGGACCACCTTGTACTAAGGGCCCGCCCTTCCGCTAGCGCCCTCGAGCGCCTTCTTCCTTTCGTGCGCCCTCGCGCGCCTCGTTTCCTGGTCGCGTAGCCCGCTAGACGACCGCGCGCGGCCCCCTTTTTGCCCGCGCGCGGCCTCGTTTTTTGCCCGCTAGCAGCCTGCGCGCGGCCCGAATCGCGTGCGCGACGACCATAGGCCGCTCGCGCGGCTCGATCCGCCCACGAGCAGGTCGCTAGCCGCCCGTCGGCCCGCCCGTAGGGCTTCGCGTCGCCCGTAGGCCGCCGCCCCTGCTTTCGTAGCCGCTGCCTGCGCGCGAGTGCAGCCCACGCCCGACCGCTCGCCCCTAGGACGGCGCTCGTAACGCCGCCGCCCGCCCGCAGGTCGCAGCCCGCGCGCAGTGGCGATCGCGCGTCGGCTGCTGCAGCTCGCGCTTAGCTGCAGCTCGCGCTTAGCTGCAGCTCGTGCTTAGCTGTAGTAGGACCCCAGCCGCGGCCTGCACGCAACTGCAACCCTAGGCGCCGCCGCGCACCGTGCATAGGCCCGCCGTTGCGCTGCCCTACCTGCCCGAGCCGCGCCGCCCTGACTGAGCCTACTGTTTAGGGTTTAGGGTTTTGCAGCACCTACTGTCCCTGTTCCTGCTGTTACAGCTGTTCTTCTCACTACAGTTGTTCCTACTACTGCTCTTACTGCCGCTACTGCCACTATGGCTACACCCACAGTTCTCTCTTTCGATGCTGAGGGCCGTCCGCTCCAGTTTGATGCTTGGCTTGACGATCTCCACCTTTTCCTCCAGATCACCGCTAAGGATGACGTCTCGCTGTATGACCACGCGTCCGGAACCGCTCTCGCACCTGCTGACACTGCTGACAGTACAGCTCGCTCCCAGTGGCAGACTCGTGACGCCCACGCTCGCCTAGCCATTCGCAGCCACCTGCCGTTAGATGAGCGCGCGCACTTTGGCCAGCACAAGACTGCTAAGGAGCTGTACGATGCAGTAGTCGCCCGCTACTCCTCACCTGCCTCCGCTACGATAGGCCGTCTCTCTCTGCCCTATCTTTTCCCCGATCTCGCCGCCTTTCCCACAGTCGCTGACCTCATTACACACCTCCGCACCAGTGACACTCGCTTCCGAGCCGCCCTCCCTGCTGAGTTTCTCGCCAAGAACCCCCCACCGATGTACCTCGTTCTCTACCACCTAGTCACCCGTCTCCCTGACTCTCTTCGCGCAGTCAGGGACCACTTTCTCGCCCTCTGCCCTACCGAGCTCACCATTGACCTGCTCGAGAAGCATCTGCTTGCAGCTGAGGCTAGTATAGTTGCTGTAGGTGCCTCTCGTGGCGACCCCCGCACGCCCTTCTTCGACGGGTGTTCCCCTTCCCCCCTTCTCCCCTCGGTTGCCTCTGCTGCCGCTGTCGACTTCCTCGGTGCTGAGGACGTCGGGGCTGCGTCTGCTCCTAGCTGGAGGCGCAAGAGCGGCAAGGGCAAGGGGGGCAAGGGTGGCGGCGGTACCAGTGGGGGAGGTGGGGGTGGCGGTGGAGGTGGAGGCGGTGGGGGTGGTGGCGGTGGTGGGGGTGGTGGCGGGGCTGGGGGGGTCAGTGGCAGCGGCGGAGGTGGCAGCGGCGGGGGTGGCAGCGGCGGGGGTGGTGGCGGCAGTGGTGGTGGGGGAGGCCGGGGTGGAGGTGGTGGTGGTGGCGGCAGTGGGCGTGGTGGCGGCGGCTCGGGTGGTGGTCGGGGTGGACCAGCGCAGCGTGGAGGCTCGGGTGGTGCCCAGCGCCAGCAGCAGCGTCTTGGAGAGACCCCGTCGTCCCAGCAGCTTCGTGAGTGGTACTCTCAGCATGGGGGGTCTGGGGGTGGAGGCACCTGCACGTATGTCATCCGCACCGGTGACCGCGCTGGTCAGACGTGTGGGCGTTTCCACACGCCGCACCGCTGCTTCTTTCGTCTAGACGATGCCTGGCGTGCACAGTTCCCGGAGGCCTCTGAGCTGCCCCGCTGGGCTGATCTGCTTAAAAAGAACATTGATGTATTTGCACTTGACTTTGATGTTATTCTTGGAGCCATGTATGCATTGACTATTAGTGTTGAGGGTGACTGTTACTTGTGTGTGCCACCAGACCCAGGCATTGCGACCAGTGAGGCTGCCGCTCTAGGTGCTAGTGCGTCCGCTGCCCCAGGTCCTGGTGAGACAACTGCTCTAGGTGCAGGTGTGTCTGCTGCCCCAGGTGCTTGTGAGACTGCGCCTTCAGGTACAGCGTCTACTGCGGCACTGCACACCTTCACCCTGGACTCAGGTGCTTCCCGCTGTTTCTTTCGCGACCGCACTGCCCTCGAGCAGCTTCCTAGACCGGTTGCTGTCTCCCTGGCTGACCCCTCCGGGGGTCCGGTTCTTGCGACCTCCTCCACTGTCCTCCCGTGTCCTGCGGTCCCGTCTGGCACCCTGTCAGGTCTTTACCTCCCCTCGTTCTCTACGAACTTGGTGGCGGGCTCTGCTCTACAGGACGGGGGTGTTCACCAGTTCACCCCTGCCTATGAGCGTGTGACCCACTGTACGTGTGCCCGGACGGGTCGCCACCTTGCTACCTTCACTAGGGAGCCGGGGTCGGACTTGTACACACTAACCACTGAGTCCCCTCAGGTCGCTGCGTCTGCGTCTGCGTCAGGTCAGCTGTCGGCCCCCTGCTTGTGTCGCTCCCTGTCCCACCAGACTGTCCTCTGGCACCACCGCCTTGGTCACCCGTCAGTGCAGCGCCTTCGCGGCATGCACCGTCGCCTCCTTGTCTCTGGTCTTCCCCGGGTTCTCCCTCCCCTCCCACCCTCGCCTGCGCCTCCCTGTCTTCCCTGTGTCGAGGGGCGGCAGCGCGCCGCTCCTCACTCCTCCGAGTTTCCCCCGACAGAGGCTCCTCTGCAGACACTCCACATGGACGTGTGGGGCCCCGCCCGCGTCCGTGGACAGGGCGGGGAGCGCTACTTTCTGCTGGTAGTTGACGACTACACGCGTTACACCACGGTCTTCCCCTTGCGCACCAAGGGTGAGGTCCCTGATGTCTTGATCCCTTGGATCCGCACTACCCGTCTCCAGCTGGAGAGGCGCTTTCGCTCGGACCTTCCAGTCCTGCGACTGCACTCTGATAGAGGTGGTGAGTTTTCCTCCGACCTCTTGAGAGCCTTCTGTCAGGGGGAGGGCATTGAGCAGACGTTCACGCTTCCGGCCTCTCCGCAGCAGAATGGGGTTGCTGAGCGCCGCATTGGCCTGGTCATGGAGGTCGCTCGTACCTCCTTGGTCCATGCGGCTGCCCCCCACTTTCTGTGGCCGTTTGCGGTACGGTACGCCGCGCATCAGCTCAACCTCTGGCCCCGTGTCTCTGACCCGGACACCTCGCCGACACTGCGTTGGATGGGAGAGGTTGGCGATGCGTCGGTGTTTCGAGTCTGGGGATCTCGTGCCTTTGTCCGCGATGCGTCCGCGGACAAGCTCTCCTCCCGTACCCTCCCCTGTGTCTTCCTTGGCTTTGTCCCTGACGCGTCTGGCTGGCAGTTTTACCACCCTGCCTCGCGCCGTGTCTTCCCTTCTCAGGACGTCACGTTTGACGAGTCGGTCCCCTTCTACCGTCTCTTCCCCTACCGCACTGCCCCGCTCCCCCCTCCGCCGCTCTTCCTCACTCCAGGTGCTGCTGTGGTAGACCCCCTGCCTCCCCAGGGTCCTGCAACCTCAGGTGTTTCCCAGGTAGACCCGGTCGAGCCTGTCGAGGTAGCTGTCGACTCTGGTCCTGCGCGAGGTACTGAGCCTGAGCGTGCCGAGCCTGGTGGTGCTGGGTCTGGTGGTACCGAGACTGGGGGTGCTGAGCCTGGGGGTGTGGAGACTGGGGGTGCTGAGCCTGGGGGTGCTGCCGCTGGGGGTGCTGGGCCTGAGGGTGCTGACACTGGGGGTGC